ACACCATCGCATCCGCTTGGCTGACTGATAGAGTGTGTTTGCAGTATGCTGTCCAGTTTTGTCAAAATGTGAGTAATACCCAGTTTTTTAAAGGTGTTCTTTAATTACTGTACTATGGGTGATTCCCCTTCCTCTTTTATGCAATATATGTGATGACTGTGTCCCCGACGTGACCAGGTTGAAGAGGTGACTGATAGAAAGAGGCTGGGAGCAGGGGCGGACTGACAACTCATGGGGCCCCCGAGCAAATAGGGGATCATGGGGCCCCTGTGTCCTTGCCTAAATTCAAAAAAGCCTATGAAAAACATACCAGGGGCATCTCATGGGGCCCCCTACTGACCCCGGGCCCTCGGGCAGTGCCCGAGTTTCCGAATGGTCAGTCCGCCCCTGGCTGGGAGATTGCTGATTGAACATCCATTCATCCATCCTGGTTTTCTCTTTACAAGCACAGTTAGACCTCCTGCTATATGAAGCCTGTCTTGTAATGAGTAGCATTGTCTCTGGGGGGTTGGTGTACAGTGGCGATAATTAAGAAGAATGTCCTACATGATCTTCAGATGCTTTTTTTTTCTTTATTGGGATGGACTTTTATCACTGAAAAAGCGACATGAATTTGGATGCGTTGAGCGCTGGGCCAAAAGACTGGCATTTTTAAATCACCGTAAATGATATAAATCCACAGGGCCCTACAGCTCTTGCACTGGGTAGCAGAAACACATCTACAGTATATAGAAAAAGAGAGCGAGCGTACACTCGTCCTAGTGTGTTACTGGTTAATGACATAAAATAAAAACACTCCAAACCTACGCACTCACATAGAGTAGAAGAAGATATTGCACATCTCAGGCACATCTAAGGCAGTGTTCCTGTTTGCCTCTCCTGGGTCATCACCACTTCTGTCCCCTGTAGGTGGCAGGATCCCGCTGCACAGACAAACCGTCCAGAGTAACCACCGAGATGAAACAGCCGCCATGTGCAGGACCTACTGCGCATGCGCTGGTCCGGCTGGCGCCATGCTACCATGAGAATAGAGCTTGTGTCATCACTGGCGTTTTTATATTAGCATTCGTCTATGCACTTTTACTATTACACCATTACCGTTTTTCATTTCTACTATTGGCAGTTCATTTGCCACCTCATACACCTTCTTCGGGTAATTTTTATCACCATTTGCATTTTTCATATGAGCATCTGGCTATTTATTTGTCGAGATCCTTTTCACCTATGGTAAAATGGCGTCGCGCACGTGTCGGTCTTCGGCCAAAATGGCGCAGATTCATTGCGCATGCGCCATTTTTCGTATAAATAACCGACCTCACGATCATGGCGCCATTCAGCCTCTGCCTCTGAAAAAGGGCGTGCGCACGAAACGCGTAAGGAGGGTCCAAGACGCCGTGACCTTAAGCCGCCAGAGCCACGTGGAGGCCGGTGGCCATCTTGCTTTCTGGATGGTTAGTCCGATGCACACCGCTGTCATACTCTGCAATGTTCATTGTGCTGCACACTGCTGCTTTACTCTGCATTCATTTTAGGTGAATTACATTTGTTTTTACCATGGTTACTTTCTTTAATAAATGTTACATCCATTAATTACTACACTATGAGTACTTCCTATACTCCCCTTGTGGAGTTATTTATTCATAGCACCTGCCTGATAAAGCAACTTCAAGGATTCCAGAGAAGGGAGATCCTGTACCCAGGCAACCTGCACCCACCTATCCTTTAAGGGGACCTCTGGCCAGCTGGATATTCTTCTTACCATCCTGTGTGCTTCCACCACCATTACCCACTTAGAGGGAGGATTATCTCTGTGTGTTCCTGACCAGACCAACCACCCAGAGGGAGGACATCTTCCCCATCCCAGACCAGATCTCAAAGGAGGCTTCTGTGGATTTTACATTTATATTGTGCATATGGTGAGTGCACAATCTCTCTATATTGCTTGGAACATCATCACGGATTATAAGGAGAGCACTATGTAGACTATCTAGTAGCCTCTAGTGAAAATACGGAATATTTGTTTATTCATATTTTTCTATCCTTTGCATATTGACTGCTTTATTGTACGTTTAGTCATTTGGTTTATACTTTGCCTTATAATTTGCACCACATTTATAGCGCTGCACTATTTTTTATATATGAGAATAAAGTTGCCCATACGGGAGAGAAGGGAATCGTGCCAAGGTGGTTGCTATGATGACGCGTTTCGAGGACGCGTCACCACCTTTCTCAAGTCCTTTTTCAAGTCACTTTTATTACTGAAAGGACATTTGGTTGGCAGATTTTGCTTGAATGAACTTATAATAATGAACTTTTGTGGATGAATTGTTTTTATATATTGTATATTTAAGCATGTTTATGCATTTGTTGCTTTTATTTATTTATTCACATTCACTTATATATTCACATTAATGGTCCTTATTTACTTATGAATTGAGTGATATTTATTTATTTACTGACAGCGCTACACAATTTCAGTATTAATTTTGTAACAAATTTGTTTCATTTAGATGTTTGAGGCATCTGAAATAACAAATGATCTGAATTGATACAAAAGCTGGATGTTAAGGATTCGGAGGCTGGCTGCCACTTCCTTAACCACTTGAGCAGAAAAAGATTCTACCCCCTGCATGACCAACCAATTTTTTGCTATTCGGCACTGCGCTAAATGGCAATTGCATGGTCAAGCAACACAACCCAAATGAAATTTAGATAATTTTTTTTCATGGTGCCTGTAGCTGCAGTATATGTACTGTGGTGGGTTGGCAAGCAGTTATTAATCCTGACTCACCTGTTGTCAGCGGGATTCACAGCTGACAGCAGAATGTTAACAAAAGAAGAGCCTTTGTTAACCGCTTGCCTGCTGCCCTATAGCAAAAATACTGCTACAGGACAGCAGGGCTACAGAAAATCATGTATATATAAATGATTTTATGAATATAAATAAACAGCGCAAATTTAGATGATTAATCAATATAGTAAAAAATAAATAAAAAATAAGTGCATAAATTAATCGTGTTTGTCCTTAATCTTAAACAAAAACACCCAAAAGTCCATGTGCTAAAAACATAATTATATTGTTATAATAAAAGTGCAAACTTCTTTTCTTCAAAAAATACTTTCACCTTCCACCCGTGCACAAACCAACATCGAATGCACTCACCAGAACTTGGTGAGTAAAGGACCTTTAAGGAATTTTTAGGGATCCTAAAACCCTCTTTGATGCCACGCTAGGGAAAAATCTTCACCCTCCGAATAGACTCCACCATCCAACCAAAAGAAAAAAACTCACATAGCATAATATTGTCACACAATAGTAACTTTTTCCAAATGTAGATTAAGGCCACTCACATGTTAAACACTTGCTAAAGGCATGTTTATTATGTATAATGGGCTCCAGTTCCAGTAAATATACAGACTTTTCCTTCTAGGAATCTCACATCCACAGTGGAACAAAGACAGGACTCCTCTTAGACCAAACAGTGAACCAAGATGGCCACTGGAACGCACCGCTCAGCGTGCGTTCCACTCACCGGAAATGACGTCAGAATGTATAGATTCATTATGTGGCTATGTGGATCGGCATTTTGTAAAGGTCTCTCACGTCATGTAGTGGGAGGAGCAGCCTCTGGAATTATCCTGGGAGGGGGTTTGACCAATTAAATCGGAGGGAGGGGTGGGTGTCCCATTGATATTTAAGTGAGTGAGGACGGGAGATGGGCGTCTTGATAACGCCCTATGGGAGGGGCGAAACGCGTTGACGCATTTCCGGTCCACACTCCATGCGCCTGACGTCATTTCCGGTGAGTGGAACGCACGCTGTTTTTAGCACATGGACTTTTGGGTGTTTTTGTTTAAGATTAAGGACAAACACGATTAATTTATGCACTTATTTTTTATTTATTTTTTACTATATTGATTAATCATCTAAATTTGCGCTGTTTATTTATATTCATATTGTTTGTGTTTTCACGATTGGCACAGCAGCAGTTTTAGAGTGTTATTTGGAAAGTTTTGGCGCAGGAATAAGTTTTTTTGTATAAATATAAATGATTTTGTAATTCCGGGTAGAGGTCGCACACGTGCCCTACCTATGCTGCCATTGGCAGCCTCAGCTGTCGATCACTGGGTCCCAGCTGGTGATTCCCCACTGGCACCTGGCAATCGCCAAATATCACTGACAGGGGAGAGGTCTGTATGTAAACAATACAAATCTCTCTCCTGTCAGCTCCTGCACATTGCTTTGTATTGCTGTGCAAAGCAGAGCAATACAAAGCAATGTGCTGACACAGTAAAACACACACAGCACACATTTAACCTTTTGATAGCCCCAGATGTTAAGCCCTTCCTACCCAGTGTCATTAGTACAGTGTCAGTTCTTTTTATTAACACTGTCAGTAACATTTAGTTCCCCCCCAGTGTCAGAATGCCAGCCACAGTCCCACAAAGTCGCTGATCGCCGCCGCCATTACCAGTACAAAGTATAAAAAGTGTAAACAAAAAATTCCAGTATCTATACCGCCATTTGTAGACGCTATAACTGTCATGTAAACCGATTAATTTACACGTATTGGGATTTTTTTTTTTTAGCAAATAAATGCAGCAGAATAAATTTTGGCCTAAATTTATAACAAAATTTGATTTTTAAAATCTCTAAAATTTTAAAAATTAAAAAAACGCAGTGGCGATCAAATACCACCAAAAGAAAGCTCTATTTGTGGGAAAAAAGGACATACATTTCATTTGGGTGCAGCGTTGGATGACTGTGCAATTGTCAGTTAAAGTAACGCAGCTCCGTTTCGCAAAAAATGGCCTGGTCAGGAAGGGGGGGGGGGGGGTAAATCCTCTGGAGGTCAAGTGGTTAACCACTATACAACCGCCCACTATACTGCGGATGCACAGCCGCTGTAGCCAAAGCATTTTACGGGTACGTTGCTGCCTACTTCTGGGTCTTGGGTGCACGGAATGAGAAACCGAAAGACCTCTTCGTAAAAGCAGCACACTTTACACACATGACACATTTAACCCCTGATCACTCTAGATGTTAACCCATTCCCAGCCAGTATCTTTAGTAGGCATTAATGTGACAGGTGATGTTAGTTAGTGTCAGATTGCCCATCACACCCCTGCAGCCCCATTATAAATCAATGATTGCCGCCATTAGTAGTATAAAAAAAAAATTCTACTATATATCCCATAGTTTGTAGACACTATAACTTTCATGCAAACTAATAAATATATTTATTGGGATCCTTTTATCAAAGATGTGTTCTGGCCAAAATGTACATTTTTTCATTGGATACGTTTTATAGCAGAAAATAAAAAATATTGTATTTTTAAAAATTCTCTGACTTTTCATTTATATTGCAAAAAATAGCTGTGATCAAATACCGCCAAAAGAATGCTCTATTTGTGGGAAGAAAGAATCATGGGTACAGCATTGATGACCCTGCAATGACTAGTTAAAATAGAGCACTGCGGTATAGCAGAAAATGGCCTGGTCGTGAAGGGGGTAAAATCATCCAGAGCTGAAGTGATAAAAAAAAACAGCATGAGGGTCCCCACAATCCATACTAGGCCTTTCGGGTCTGGAATGGAATTTGAGGGGACCCCATGCAAAAATACATACCAGGCCCTTATCCGAGCATGAAGCCCAGCAGGCCAGGAAAGAAGGGGGACAAACAAGCGCCCCCCTCCCCAAACCATACCAGGCTACATGCTCTCATCATGAGGGGTGTTTTGAGGGAAGGGGGCCCCTAATGTTGTCTTGAGGTGGTCTCCGAGTGACATCATGGTGAGTGGATTTCACTGGGTGATCCCGCGCCCATGTTTACTTGCAATGGGGGAGAAGCAACTGTCATTCAGTGAGTGTCAGGACTGGTCTTGTTTAATGGGGGTTTTTTTTCACCCATTTTTTGTTCATCGTGATTGACACTGGATTTACATCAGTGAACAGGTTTATTCATTCATTTTTTACATTTTTTTTTGTAATAAAGCATTTGTCAGAACCTGTCTGTGTGTTTTTATTTACTTCTGACATTTTTTTTGGTGATACGCATTCACATTAGTATGCGAGATCTAGGGGCCCCCTTAAGGATGCTCCCAGATTTCAGTAAGCACCCCAGTCGCAGACCCCCACAACCACTGCCCATGGTTGTGGGGAGAAGGCCCTTGTGCCCATCAACATGGGGACAAGGTGCTTTGGGGGGTAGCCCTCTCCCCAAAGCACCCCCCCATGTTGAGAACATGTAACTCGTCCCTTCCTTCCTGGCTTGCAGGGCTGCATTTTCAGATAAGGGTCCGTTATGGATTTAGGGGGACCCCACGCCATTTTTTCAAAAGTTTTGGCATGAGGTTCCACTCAAAATCCATACTAGACCTAAAGGCCCAGTATGGATTTTGAGGGGGACCCCACACCTTTTTTAATGCCTCTTTTGTTTACATTTTGGTGTTAGGATTAGCCAAAGTCGCACGCATATCGCATTGAAGTTGCATGCAAGTTGTATCAAAGTTGCAAGCCACTCACATCAAATTTGCAAGCTATAGGAACATAAATGCATCTGAAATAACTTTAAAAAAATATGAATTGATTCAGAAATAACAAATATACAAAATGAATCCAAATATACAAAATGTATTCAGAAAACAAACTATTTTAACATAATGAATATGACAAAACAAAATTATTTACTTAACGAATGAATCCTCAACTAAACAAATGTTTTCATTGTGCACATCTCTAATTAGCACTACTTGCTATTGATGCTACCTTTCCCATTCAGGTTACCAGCTATCAACTTACCTGCTCAGGATGCCATAGGGTTGATTTACTAAAGGGAAATAGACTGTGCACTCTGCAAGAGCAGTTGCTCCAGAGCTTAGTAAATAAGCAGAAGCTCTGCTGAATTCCATCATCCAATCAAGTGCAAGCAAAAATGCTGTTTTTTTTATTTCCCTTGCATGTGATTGGGTATTCTTTGCAAAGTGAATCTTTATCTCATTTACTAAGCTCTGGAGTAACTGCACTTGCAGAACGCAACTGCACTTTGCAAAGTGCACAGTCTATTTGCCTTTAGTAAATCAACCCACATGTCTTGCTCAACAAATTTTTGAAAAATGGCCAACCTTTCACTCCAACCACATACTGGGTAGAAGTTAGAATTAATAATTTAATATTGAATTATCTTGTAATTTGTTTATACCCTGTATATCCTAATATCCTCCTTCATCCAGAAGAAACAAATCATGAAGTAAACACAAATCTTGAAATTTGTAACTAGTATCAGTATAGCTGTTGCGACTAGAAGATATGCTGCTGTGAAAAAACCACCACCCGTTGAGTTTCCAATGTTTGCTCTGAGTCTACAGAGTCTCCAGCAGTGTCTCTATTGTGTTTCTAGGAGTAAGATTTGCATCAACCAACATGGCAAACAAATCAAAGTGACATGATGATGTGAAATTTAAACCCAGTAATAAAACCTCCAATTGTTGATGTGTTAAAGCATAATTCAAAATATTTGAGATATGTGAATCCTATGAACACCAATGTTACTTATTCTTCCTACTGCCTTGCCTCGATTTTTTTTTCCCTTTTGTTTTTTGTATCTTTGTGAAGTTTGGACATTTATGTTTCTTTCTATTCCCCATCCTCGGAGAATATATCTGTCAGTTTCTCTTTCTATCACTACCTTCCATCATTCCTATTGTTAAACATGTTCCAAATGTTTGTCTTTCATAAATGTAGTTATTTTCGTACAATATGTGTAGTTGCTCCCTCCAAGGTGTTCAACTTATTTAATTTGTCAACCAAATTATGAAAACACTTTGTGCTTCCCGACCGCACTATAGCAGAAATACTGATACAGGGCAGCATGGGTACACAAAATCACATATATACACTGGGGATGTCAGTGACACCAAGTCAGTTCCCCCAGTGTCAGAATGTCTGCCGCAGTCACTCTATAAGTCGCTGATTGCCGCCATTACTAGTAAAAATTTAAAAAAAAATCCCAGTATATATACCACCATTTGTAAAAGCTATAACTTTCACATAAACCAATTAATGGGATTTTTTTTTAGCAAAGAATACATTTTGGCCTAAATTTATGATAACATTTAATTTTTTTTATTTTTTTACTGGACATGCTTCATCACTTGCCAACTGGGCACTTAAATGCTTAGTAAACGTAAAATCTATTCAACTGTAGGATTAGATTGATTTGTGTTTTTAAGTGTTCTTGCATGGCAGGCCACATCCTGTTATCTCACATATATATTCTTATTATTATAGCCAAATTTACCACCAGGGGCGGACTGACAAATCATGGGGCCCCCGGGCAATAGGGGATCATGGGCCCCTGTGTCCTTTCCCAAACTCAAAAAAGCCTATGAAAAAGGTACCAGGGGCATCTCATGGGGCCCTCTACTGACCCCGGGCCCTAGGGCAGTGCCCGAGTTTCCAAATGGTCAGTCCGCCGCTGTTTACCACTCTAACTCCTCCCACAGGTTTTACACTACATAGACAGTAATATACCGAAACGTGCGGATTGTTCGCGATTGGTGTGCTATTACTTTGTGGAACGTTTCGCTGAATGGTTCACAAAATATTGGCATTTTTGTGGTGAATTGGTCCCATAGGAATGAATGGCGGAATGTTCAAAACTAGAGTGGGAGCTGACAAAAGCTAGAGTGTGAGCTGAAAATTCAGGACATGATATCTAAACTGCCATCACTCCCTCATTTTCAAAACCACCTTCACAAATCCTATCTTAAAATGTTCAGCTGTCCCTGCTGCCACTAAAAATGTCCACATCTAAGCCATTGTCCTGATAGTTTTCACAATATGACCATTTGTTGGCAACTCACGCCGCCCATTGACATTTATTGAAACTCCACTCAAATTTGAAGGGCAATTTCTAAACTGCGACTGTGCCTTCATTTTTAATATTTCAGAGACATACTATGCATCAAAATGTAGGTCTGGGTCTTGTGATTCTCACAATATAAAGCTCTTCGGTGTAAGATTTGAAATTTGTAAACTACAACCGTTTGAAGATGGCAACCACCAGTGAAGTGAGCAAGTTGGAGCAGTTTGTTTTTAACCATTCTTCTCTGCCTTGCTGTAGAGTGAGTTGCCATAGGAAACCAGGTGTGTGAGCAGGCAGCAGAGTGGAGGCAAGAACACTTCATACAATTTCCCCAGAAATTGTAGCTTTTCTAGTTTAGATTTACAATCACTTTAAACTTCTCCAGCTCTGTATGTACTACATTTTTGTATTTGATTTCTCCAAGCAGGCCTGTTTGAAGCTAACTGTAAGGGTTTGCTGACATTTGCAGTAGCCCTCTGAAAAGGCATTCATGGGTACTCACTTCTCAGAAGATGTTTGACAGTAAAAAAGCATTATGGTGCCTCCTCATTTCCTGTTTTAGTCCCTCAAAGCTTGCACCATTGCATGGTAACAGACTTGGTGGGCCGGGACTACGGGCATGGTGTATTTTAAAATGGTATAATTTAAGTCTTTGTGCATTTCTCATCTAACATCAGGAACTAATCCCATGTGGGTTAGGCCTCATTCACACCTCACAAATTTGCTGCTTAAAGCTTGTAGCTCCAAACTGCTAAACAAGGCCATTCCCATGAATTTCAATGGCCCCTCTTCACATCTGAGAATTCTGTGACCTGTAGCGAATCAGCTGTCATTCAAAAAAGTACACGCGCTTCTTTTTGCAGATTAGAGGTAGCTTTGGCATCATAGGCCTTTGTGGGAATGCCTGAAAATGAACTGCATGAACATTTTACAAGCGTTTTGTCAGGTATTTTGTGCTCAAACAGCATCTCTCTACCAGGGGTGGACTGACAACTCATGGGGCCCCCAGGCAATAGAGGATCATGGGGCCCCTGTGTCCTTTCCCACACTCAAAGCACATCCAAAAAAAGCCTATAAAAGGTACAAGGGGCATTTCATGGGGCCCCTTACTGACCCCGGCCCTCAAGCAGTGCCCGAGTGCTCGAATGGTCAGTCCGCCCCTGCTCTCTACCCATAATCAGCAACACTTCACCCCATTTTAAGCACATGCTGAGCAAGATGGAGGACAGCAGAAAGCTTCATCTTCCTAGTTTGTGCCCATCCATGAGTGTATGATCTGAAAGACCCAGAATATAAGAATTGTGGCTGTAAGAATCGAGCCAGGGAAGAAATATCATCCCAACTTATTCCAGATGGGTTCAGGTTGACTGCCACCATGAGAAGTAAAAAAGGGAAGTTCTCTGTGTACAACAGCCATGTTTTGCCTGTTCTGAGCTCTCTGCTCACGTCTGCAATATTTCATGAGCATTTGTTGCATACATCTGAGCCAGCCATGTGTTTTCCCCCATTTTGTTCTGCCTAGGGCGGACTGACCATTTGGAAACTTGGGCACTGCCCGAGGGCCCAGGGTCAGTAGGGGGCCCCATGAGAGGCCCCTGGTACCTTTTTCATAGGCTTTTTTGAGTTTGGGCAAGGACACAGGGGCCCCATGATCCCCTATTGCCCGGGGGCCCCATGAGTTGTCAGTCCGCCCCTGGTTCTGCCTCGTGTTTTTCTTGTTATGTTGACTGTAATTTTGTGCAAGAATACAAGGTGCACTTGTTGCAAACATATGCTAGCTAATTTATGTATTTTCTCACTGTGTGCAGCCACGTTTTTCTTGCTGTTTTTTTTTTTTTTCATAAGACATGCTAGCCATGTATTATCCCACTAACTTCAGCCTCATGTTTTGATTGATCAGTATAACTTCTGTGCAGTGTACAATGTATTTTCACACATGTGATGTCAGTAGCTTAGGAAGCATTGTCATTATTAGGATTCAGCATACTGCAACCATGGTAAAGTTTTTGTAATGGCTTCCCGTCCACCCTATAGCAGAAGTACTGCTACAGTGCGGCACGGGCGCGCAAAATCATGTGCGTATATACATGATTTTGAATTTCCGGGTAGGGGCGCACGTGCCCTACCCACGCCATCATTAGCGGCTACGGCTGTTGATCACCAGTTCCCGGCCAGTGATTACTTACCAGAGCCCGGTGATTGGCGAGCATCTCCGACGGGGAGGAGAACTGTTTGTAAGCTAAACAGTTCTCTCCCGTCAGCTCCTGCACACTGCTTTGTATGGCTGTGTATAGCAGTGTGCTTACAGTGAAGCACAAACACAGCCCAGTATGCAAACCAGCACACAGTTAACCCTATGATCACCCCAGATGCTAACCCCTTCCTGCCCATTGCCTTTAGTACAGTGTCAGTGCTTTTTATTAGCACTGATCACTGTATTGGTGTCACTGGGGATGTCAGTGACACCAAGTCAGTTCCCCCCCAGTGTCAGAATGCCCGCCACAGTCCCGCTATCAGTTGCTGATCGCCGCCATTACTAGTAAGAATAAAAATTACAAAAAAAATCCCAGTGTATATATCGCCACTTGTAAACGCTATACATTTCACATAAACTAATTCATTTACACATATTGGGATTTTTTTTTTCACAAAGACATGTAGCAGAATACATTTTATGCTAAAATTTTATTTTTTAAAACCTTTTTTACTGGACATGTTTTAGTAGCAAAAAGTAAAAAAGTATATTTTTTTTTTCTCACAATTGTCAGTCTTTATTTTTTTTTATAGCGTCAAAAATAAAACTACACAGGTGATCAAATACTACCGAAAGAAAGCTCTATTCGTGGGAAAAAAGAATGTAAATGTCATTTGGGTGCAGCATTGCATGACCGCGCAATTGTCAGTTAAAGTAACAAAGCGCCGCAATGCAAAAAATGGCCTGATCAGACAGGGGGGTAAATCCTCAGGAGGGCAAGTGCTTAACGAAGGGGTACTGTTATCTGCTGCAAAGTCTATCTCACATAAATTTAATTGCACATTACAGAAGACCTTTTAAAGTTCAAAAACATTTTATTATCCAAAGCAAAAGTGGTGAAAATACAAAAAACAACAAGTCTGCATAGCTGATGTCTTTATTTTAAAGTTGTTCAATAATGTCAAGCTGCTATGGAACCTGTCATCTGCAAAACATAAAGAAGGATACAAAATCATCCCCAAAACGTGCAATACTTGTGCTACCATGCCTCCTGTGTCACTGGGCCCTTTCCATTGTGTGTATTAACCACATGCCGCCCAGCCACTGTAGAAATACGTTGGCAGGGCGGCACGGCTGGGCAAAACCACGTTTTAAAACGTGTGTTTTCAAAACAGGTAGGGGGCATGCACGAGGCGCGCCGCCGCCCTACCTGTCCCACTGATCATGGCCGCGGATGTCAGTCACCGGGTCACAGCCGGTCGGTACCGGCTATGTCCCGGCGATTAGCGGCAATCACTGACAGAGAGCACAGCTGCAGTAGCTGTGCTTTCTGTCCGTTCCCTGACAGCTCCTGACAGGCTGATCTGGAGAGAAGAGTTTCTCTCTCCCGATCAGTGTGTTCCTTGCAGTACACACGCCCGCCCCCTAGTAAAACACTCCCCTCACACAGTTAACCCTTTCACTGAATAATAAAGTTAACCCCTTCCTCCCCAGTGCCATTAGTACAGTGTCAGTGTTTTTTTTTGCACTGATCACTGTATTGGTGTCACTGGGGATGTCAGTGACCCTAAGTCAGTTCCCCCCAGTGTCAGAATGTCCGCCACAGTCCCGCAGTCCCTCCATAAGTCACTGATCGCTGCCATAAGTCACTGATTGCCGCCATTATTAGTATAAAAAGAAATTAAAAATCCCAGTATCTTTCCCGCCATTTGTAAACGCTATAACTTTCACGTAAACCAATTAATTTACACGTATTGTTTTTTTTTTTAGCAAAGACATGTCGCAGAATGCATTTTGGCAGAAATTTATGACTAAATTTGATTTTTAAATTTTTTTTTTACTGGACATGTTTTATAGCAAAAAGTCCAAAATATTGTTTTTTTTTCCTCAAAATTTTCAGCCTTTTTTTTTTTTATAGCGCAAAAAATAAAAACCGCACAGGCAATCCAATACCACCGAAAGAAAGCTCAATTTGTGGGAAAAAAAAGAATGTAAATTTCATTTACGTACCGTATTGCATGACCGCGCAATTGTCCGTTAAACTAGCGCAGCGCTGTATAGCAAAAAAATGGCGTAAATTGCAGTATTTATACCATAGTTTGTAGACGCTATAACTTCCACACAAAGCAATCAATATACACTTATTGGGATTTTTTTTACCAAAAACATGTAGCAGAATACATTTTGGCCTAAATTTATAACTAACTTTGAGTTTACTATATATTTTTTATAGCTGAAAGTAAAAAATATCGTTCTTCTTCAAAATTTTTGGTTTTTTTTTGTTTATAGCGTGAAAAATAAAAAGCACACAGGTGATCAAATACCACTGAAAGAAAGCTCTATTTGTGTGAAAAAAAGGACATAAATTTTGTTTGGAAGCGACATTGCATGACCGCGCAATTATCAGTTGAATTAGTGCAGCGCCGAGTAGCAAAAAGAGGCCTGGTCATTAAGGGGGGTAAATCCTCAGGAGGGCAAGTGGTTAAAGCATCTTTAAAAAGCAAGCCATCACACTCATGTAAAAAATTGCGCAGGTCACATTCTGTCTTAACTGCAGTGATTGCATTCTGCATGTTCAGGTTGATTGCAGCATGTAGAAGATGCCATTTATTTGGAAGGAGGCCAAAAGCACAATCCACAAATCTCTGTGCTCTGATGAGCCAATAATTGAAGACCACCTTCTGCCCATTCAGCCTGTGATTAGACTATATTGCATCACATCCCATATGATAGAGCAATCGTCTCGGAAAATGTAGCTTGCTGTCAATTTTCCAACCATGAAAGCAAAGTGCAGACTAGCCAAGGATTGAACAGTGCCTAGGTACCTATGGAGTAAAAAAAAGATATTTATTGTTTTTCCAATTACAATAATTATAAAAAATGGAACAGCCTTAAGGATGCATACACCCAATATTGCAGGCAATTACACAAGTTTAGGAGTGGTCAAGCAGCAGATGAACCAGCTGGATACGTCCATGCAAAGTATCTGGGTTTCTTAAGGAAAAGTACAACCAAAGCTCTTTTGACTGTACTTCTGTGGATCACAGGAGTGATGCACTCCTGGGATCCGTTTTCAGCTGACAGCGGGCTAAATTCCACTGTCGGCTGATGCCACTCAGCGGTCTAGGCTAGAGAAAGATCCCAGCTTCAAAGTAGGGATCTACCCCATAGTCTGGAGTGGCACCTGGCTCAGCCTCTCGTTGAGCCACTGAGAGCCTGAGCACACCTCTCCCTCCCCCTCCACAGCCAAGCGCTCCAGTGAGGGCTGGGAGGGCAGAGCAGCCACCATGACAGTCACCTCTCTGCTCAGAATGGCTGAGTACTTCGCAATCAGCGATCGTGTCAGAGGTCATCTACTTTGAAACTTTGAAAGTGTAATTCATGTTTAAAGATGTAGATGTTCTAAATCAGTGGTTCTTAACCTGGGTTCGATCGAACCCCAGGGGTTCGGTGAGTCAGTCTCGGGGGTTCGGCGGAGGTGACCCACACCCGACTCATATGATTTGTGATGACATGCCCCGCTTGTCCATCATTGGCTGCAGGTGGTCACACAACATCGCTTAGCCCAGTGGTCGGCAAGCTCTTGTGTGCCGGACGCCCGCTCCCCTCCCTCCTCTCGGGCGGCAGGGACCCAAATGCAATGATTGGCCAGTCTTGCTGCCACTCACATCCTGATAGCCAGTGATTGGCTGTCAGGATGTGTGTAGGCGGGGCAGCGTGACGAACGTGAGAGGAGCTAGGCTCCTCTCACAGTCCGCCCTGAAGACCGGAACGGCGCGGGAATACAGCGAGAGGAACGCGCGGAGCAAAGGTAAGTGAATTGACACAGGGGGGACTTGGGGACTTAATATGGGGGATGAATTAATATGGGGAATGAATTACTATAGGGGGGATGAATTACTATAAGGGGATGATGAATTATTATATGGGGGATGAATTACTATATGGGGGATGTATTATATATATGGGGGGATGAATTACTATATGGGGGATGAATTACTATATGGGGGATGAATTACTATATGGGGGATGTATTACTATGGGGGATGAATTACTATATGGGGGATGAATTACTATATGGGGGATGAATTACTATATGGGGGATGTATTACTATATGGGGGATGTATTACTATATGGGGGATGAATTACTATATGGGGGATGTATTACTATGGGGGATGAATTACTATATGGGGAAGGAATTACTATAGGGGGATGAATTACTATATGGGGGATGAATTACTATATGGGGGATGAATTACTATATGGGGGGATGAATTACTATGGGGGATGAATTACTTTATGGGGGATGAATTACTATATGGGGGATGAATTACTATGAGGGATGAATTACTATGGGGGATGAATTACTATATGAGGGATGAATTACTATATGGGGGATGAATTACTATGGGGGATGAATTACTATATGGGGGATGAATTACTATATGGGGGATGAATTACTATGGGGGATGAATTTTCATACCGTTTGTTACAACATATCTTTGCGAGCAATCCTTTTCGAGGATGCTGGACATAAATACGAATTAAAGGAACAGACTTTGTTGCGAAAATGACATGAGAGTGGCACTTGCCAAGGTAATGCCGCGCATTTCTGAACTGGCCTCTGAAAGACAACAGCACATCAGTCACACTGATTTGCGGTAAATATTCATTATTTTGTTTTTGTGTGAAAATCATGTTTTAATGGTTTTGTTCTTTGTTCTTAATGGTTTTGTTCATTTTGTGCACCTATGTATAAATATATACCTATGTTTTGAATTTTAAAAATCATATTTTATTTTTCCAATTAAGAAGGGTTCGGTGAATGCGCATATGAAACTGGTGGGGTTCAGTACCTCCAAAAAGGTTAAGAACCACTGTTCTAAATGTTCTTACTTCAGTACCCAAAGCTTCTGGGAATCTGCATGTGTAGAACCAGAGAATGATGGGGCAAAATTTGAGAATGAACCCAGCTAGGCCATGCAACATACTACCAGCGCCAAAATTAGAAAACATCACCCCTCCTATAGGTCCTTTAAGGCGAGCAGGATCAAGGCCTGCTAGAAGCAGGGGGCAGGTCCAGAGGTATAAACTTGATCTGATGGCAGAATTCACCCAGAAAATAGATGACAGTAAAACAGTTATGCTTCTTGGGAGCCTAGGGGAATTTTATCAAGCATCGCCAGTTGGAAATGCAAACCATGATAATGAATTGCATTTCCTCATTTATTCCCCAGCCTGCTGAATCACCAATTCCACCATCACCAACTCCCTTCCCCCTGTTATCCTCCAAATTACTCACCTACCTCTTATCTGCTCTGTCTGCAT